GGGATTCATGAACTAAATTCTTTTCAGTAAGATTTTTATTTCATTATCTAATGAGTGTAGGTAAGTAGGTCACATTGTTTTGTTATATTATTTTCAGGAGACCTCATGGGACCAGCAATCAAAAATCTGGATCATCTAGTACGATTGCCAACTGGTTGTGGTGAACAAAACATGGTAAAGTTTGTTCCTAACATATTTGTGTTAGACTACCTAACAGCAACTGGGAGTATAACTGATTCAATAAAGGAAAAGGCCCTGAACAACATGAGGAAAGGTGTGTAAACTTTATATTCTACAGCTAAACTATCTGTAATATGTTATTTCTTGTGTCACTTCTGTTTTGTCTAAAATCAAAACTATTAGTTTCATATGTGAGGTTTACTGATAACTAGCGTGAAGTTAGTTAATTAAACTATAAGCAATTAAAAAAACTATATAGAAAAGGAAATTACAAAAAGAAAATTATTAAAAAGACCCTTTTTCTGGTAATTTTTTACCTTTTGTTTATAATTTTATCTTAAAGATTCTGTAATCACCTTACTAAGTACTGTTACTCACACTATTTACTATACCATGACAGTTCATTTTCATTCAAAGTTTACATCTAAAATATTTATGTTTAATAAACAAAATTGATATTAAAAGCTGTTGTATGAAAGTATGTTATATTTATTTAATCTCTTTAAATGTAGTTGTACAAAGTATCATAAAAAATCATTGCAGGATATGCTCGACAACAGAACTATCGCCACCCAGATGGATCATACAGTGCATTTGGAAATCGTGACAAACAGGGAAACCTGTTTTTCAAAGTGGAATAGCTTCTTATTATAAACAATGTTCTGAAACAGAATGATTGTAAAACTTTTATTAAATGGATAAATTTATACTTTTGAATTTTTTTTTAATAGTATTGAAAGAGAAACACTATAAAGTAAGTACCCAATACATTTTACAGAACTACCTTTAATGCACCGTGGAAAAGCTTTCCAATTTTTCTGAAACAACCATTAGATCTCTGTCTATTCAAAATCCAATTTTCAGTTTTGTTGAGTTTATTTTTATTAATCAGTATAAAACGCTCAGCTTGGGCAAATGAACGGTATACAAAGGCCGTTTAAACTTGAACAGTACAAAACTAACCTTCAGTAATTGCTCTCTCTTCCAGTTTTGCTAGGTAGTCCTTTGCTGATGGATGGCCTGCAAGTGAAGTTGCATATGCAAACAGGGCAAGGGAATAGGTACTTGGATTAGATAATGCTTCAAGACAACTTATCCCTTGATCAATAACAGTTTCATTTTTGTAACCCGCTTCCAAAAGTGAAATTAATACATAGGCAGTTAGAGGTGCAGGAGTTTCATCATTGGAGCTTATTCCACCCTATAAATAATAGCAATTAAAAACAGTGAAACGGGATTTTAATTTGTTCTGAAAGTGATATATATTTACTAATTCATATGAAACAATATTCAGCATAACAATTTAACTACCTTTAAAAGAAAATCAGAATATGACAAAAAAACTTTATGAAAACAATTACCTTAATTAGATAGTTTCCAAACAAATTTCACCAAAATGTCAACAATACATTGCTTTTCCCTAGAGAAACTTATACAGATTGCTTTGAATAATCTTGAGTCATTATTTTAAAAAAGTGTATTATTGAATATTTAGCTAACCCTAAAGATAATAAAATGACTATAATTATAACTTTAAATAACTTGAAGAAGAATCAAATAGTTTTATTTATTACTGGATACAAGCTGCAAAACATTTGTAGTAGTTTTCATGTCCTTCATTTGAAGTTTCTTTATCTATCATTTTCACACAAAGCATTTAAGCTATGCTTTCTTGCTGGCATTTTGTATTAGAGCAATAAATCCTGGTTTATTTGAAAACAGTTTGCATGGTAAGACAAAAAACTGATGTAGACATAATCTTATTTAATAAAACTATATGTAAATTAAACAAGAATGTAAAGTAATGGCACTTATAATAGTGTACAAAGTATGAAACATGAGCATTCAGTGTATGATATGGTTTTATGAGTTGAAACAAAGAAACTCAAAAAACAAAAAATAAAACCCATACCAAAGGAAAAGGTAACTAAAAGATGTTTATAGCAGTCTATGAAACGAATCGAAGCTAAATTATTCCAAAGTAAAGTAAATGTAAAGTTGTAATGAAAATAAACTTTGATGAATATGCAGAAATGTCTTATTGAGTATTCACAAAGTGATATACATATGGTTTTGAATGAGCTGCACATGCATACTTTAGACCTAAATATGTCGGCAAAGCCTATAGGAATTGTATTTAATGTAATGTTCATTTGTTTTAGTAAATTACACATGGGTTGTGTTTTTGTGTGAAATGCTTTGCAAGTAAAAAAACTAAAGTTGAAATCAGAGCCAGTTGAAGCCAGTTGTTATGTGATGACAACAAATATGTACTATCATATAGCATACTTGTTTCATTAAAACATTTGAATAAGTAAAAAATAGGTAAGGTAATTCTGCATAGAAAAGCCAATATGGAATGCAGACTCCTCGAACAAAGGCCTTTCTGATAACATGAAACTTTTAGCATTTGGTAGAGAAATTTGCAAGAAAAAACCTAGACAGACAAACAGACAATTGCAAGTGTATTATTTATATACACTATTATTATTATTATAATATTATGGTACTGTTACTTGCTAAGATTAGAGTATTATGGCAGACTCTTAATACTAATGAAATCATCATCTGCAAGGTCAGTATAACATGAACATTGAATTTACAAAGTGATAAATATGAGTTGATTATACAACAAATTTAAAATTTAAATAACACACAATTATTAATTAAAAAAATTACCACATAAAAATTAGCAATGAAAACAGTATAAATATTTATCTTAAAATGGTACTATACAAAGTACTTTAACTAACCTGAGTTGAATGAAAGCCACCTCGATAGTTTTGTTGTTTAGCCAACCAACGAATGATAGGAGTAACTTTGGCCAAGTTTGAAGCACCTCCATGCTGTAAAAGTGTTAGAACAGCATAACCAGCTATCTCCACACCAATAGATTTTCCCCAGTAATAAGGACTACTAGATGGAGATTTCCAGAAAGTTTTCCCACCTAAAAGAAAAATAAAAGAACAATGTTACTTATGATAAGTAGTTTACTCTCATTTGAGTTGTATCATGGAATTTAATAGAACTTCAAACATAGGTGTAAAAAAATAAGTACATCCAAGTTAGATATTGTAGGATACTGTTATTGCTTTACAAGCTATGTCCAAGTTTGCTACAATTATTTACAAAGATGAGTTGGATTTGGAAGTAGGAGTTGAAAGTAGTGGATTTGAAAAGAAGATCATGCTTACAAAAGATAACAGTATTTTGATGCAGACTTTCCGTCTGCAAACTGTCCCCAGTCCAGTGGATTTTGAGGCTACAGGAAGTGGTTGTGGTCTTGTACAAGTGAGTGCCTTTTATAAATGATACATTATTCTTCCTTATTTATTCAATATCAGCTTTTACATTGCATTTTTTTTTTGGTGGTGGTGGTCGGGGGTTATATCTAAGATTTTTGTTTATTTGATGTATGTTGGGTATGTTATGTACATAATATCAGTATTCTTATACTGTACTAGAAATGAAAATTCATCCATTTTCACAACACAATGTTATAATTTTAATGATTTCTAGACATCCCTTCGTTACAATGTTAACACACCACCTCCAAGAAAAGGATTTCATCTGGAAGTTACTGTAAAGAGAGGCCTGTATCGTGACTGTATTAATGCCCACATTGCTACCTGTGTAAAGTAAGTAATCATTTTGTATCGTTTTAACTCTAGTGACTCAACTTAAACATTGGGGTAAATAACCATATACTCTTTATGCATTTAATTACACAACCTTAAACAAATATTTGCAAAAGTTCAGGTTTTTCATCTGCAAATAACCATGTAACATCCTGGAAACTTTTATCTGGGCATTACTTGAGCAAAATAATCTAAGCGAGTAGATGATAAGTTGATTTAAGTAGCTACTTGGATAACACGTAACTGCATCTAAGTGATAGAGAAAAAGTAAATTTTGATGTGTAAGTGATACCTTATCTAACTTTTATATCGTAGGAGTGGAGTTGACTATAATGTTTTGAATTAAATTATACAAGTTTCTCCTGAATCCCAGAGTATGCAGATTTTAAACAAATGTCTGTCTTTTTCTGGAGAGGGTAGGGGGGGTGGGGTGAGACAAAGATGATATGACTGAGGGTTCTTTCAAGTCTTATTATTTAATTAAGTTATTTCTTAGTGAAGTACTGTAATAGATTGACACAGTAATGGATACTCAAACAATGTATAACTCTCTTTCTCACACACACTAACTAACTAACTAGAGGACTATATGTTAAGAAACTCAATACAAACAAATTATGTTGATAAAACTACTTGTATTCAAGGTTCATTGTAATAAATGATTTAGTTGTCTTGTGTAAAACAATTTCATAAAATATTTTCGTCTAATAGTTGTCAATAGTGACAGACAATGCTTAAAAAGTTATCAAAAACATGTGCACATATAAAAAAAGGTGGCTTTATTATAGAAACCCTTGTAATATCATATACTGATAAAATTTTTCTATAATGTTATTTTGTATCAACTATAGAAATGATGCTGGTAATTTTGAAAATGCTTAATATATTTCTAGCTTCAGACAAAAGTAAAATAAATATTAACCTTTATCTATGTTTTGAGAACTACAATAATTAATTATTGGGTATAATATACCTTCTAAAAGAAATGCTAAGAGTGTAGCATAATTATATTGATTTTAAAGTCTAATTTGTGGTAAATGATTAGCTGTTAATCAATAACATTACTGCTTTCAGGTATGATGGTAAAGGTGGTGTATCTAACATGGCCGTACTGGAGATGAAGATGGTTTCTGGATGGATACCTGATGAAGAAAGCATTAAAAATGTGAGATTTTGATCTATGACATTTTAGACTTTGAGAAAGTAACTTATTGGCAAGTTTTATATTTTTTTATATTCTATGTACAACCATAAACTATGTTAACTTCTTCAGAGAAAGGAATTTTTGTTGTTGAAATTTGAATTAACCATTCATTTATGAAACTTGCATACTACTACATGTAAGAATTACGTTATATATAAGAGTGTACGTGATAACAATGAAATAGCATGGTTTAGAGTATTTTAGATTATATTTGTAGTGTATTTTCTGCCTCCCAGTTACACATCAGTATGCTTCTAAACTTATGATGCTAAAATTTTGGTTTTGAAATTTGTGGCTTGTCCTTTCTGTGGCTTTTCACTCAGGAACAAACAAACCAAATTTATTTTCTTTGTTAACTTGTAATGTGTACTTGTTTTTTAAATTTGTCTTCAGTAAGTTTAGTACATAGCACTAATAATAGTCTCCATTTACATTTTTTCCGTGGTTTTATTCTTCAGATTATGGATAGAGAAGAGCTAAATCTGCGTCGTTATGAGGTGGATGGAAATCAACTAAACTTGTACTTTTCAGAGGTAAAATTGTGTTACATTAGCACAAACATTCTCTTGTTTAGTATGTTAAGTATTTATTAATACAAGGGGAAAAGCAGAAAAAAATGTTCCAGAATATGTGTGACCAGTTAGAATCTCAGTGGGTGATAATTCATATCTTTTGTGATTTGCTATATTAGTTATTTCTGATACTTTAAATGAATCTAGGCTCATGCAAAGCTGGTAATAGGCCCAGGCCAGATGGGAAATGTAGGCCCCATTTCAAACTGCTCATTAAGTATTTTTGTAATCAGTGTTAAATACATATGATTTATGTATGGGTATATACATGTACATGTAGTGTACATGATATACCTACAAGTAACAGAAACGAATAAAAGAACTAGAACAATTTATAAAAATAGGTAATCGCAACCAATTTTATTCAAAATGTATATAAGACAATAGAGTACAGTACTGTAATAAGAAGCAGTAAATACAATAGTACATTCATGTTTATTCTGTATTCGGAAGTAAGCCCCCTCAAAATCGTAGGCCCATGCCAACTGGCCCACTCTGTTCTGAATTAATCTGCTTTAGTTAAT